TTTTAATGAAGATGTGAAAAATCGACATTGATATCGTGCCGGCTAAAAAAATTATAAGGGTCAAAAGGTCACGAAAATCAGTTTTTCGCGAATATCTCGCAAACTATGGCTCGGAGGTCAATAAAGGTCATCGTAAAAATTATTTTCCATAAGGTTATCTACAAAAAATTCCTTTTGTANAAAGGTTTAACCAGTAACAATTTTTTTCATCACCATTGTGAAACATATTTTAATGAAAACATTTGTTGTTGTGAATTTATAATAAAAGATGGACCATATAATTTATTTTCAATATTACAACTTATTTTTCTCAGATTGTTCCATTTTGAATAAAGCTTTGAATAGGAACTATAAGAATGAAAAAAAATTTAAAAAGCGGGATTGATGTTTTTCTGTATTTTGGTTATTGAATATCAGCCTTATATGTAATAGGACGCAAAAACCGTCATATGAAAACATCTGACACTCTCCAAAAGTAATGAAAAATAACAATGAATTTGTACTCAAATTTGCAGCAAAAGTTTAAAACAAAACAATAAGCACCAGATTATTTTAGATTAGGATTTCCCAGAGGGGTTGATGACTTATAACTATTGATACTTGCCAATGGGATAATACCAGAGATGCCGCCTGCGAGTATTTGAGGTTAGACAAATAGGTTTACTTATGTCAATGACTTAGTCCATGTGTATAAAAAAAATCAGCTCAGAAGGAATGTTTCCGCAGATAAAACCTTAAATGACTGGACCATCTGCAAGTTCACATCACAACACACCATACATATTTGATCTACGTCTTAAAATTATAACTTAGTGGTAACCTGCAACCAATACCCATATTCATTACAACTCAAATTAAATTAAAATGATGCACTTCGAACATATGGTATCACAAAATTAAAATCAGTCAAGAAAATATATCGATCGCTTAAATATTACTTACAGTAAACGAAGAATTCAACTACCTACCTTCACATCGAGAAGAATTGATCCTCGAGGACTCCACTGGGTTCTTGAAAAACATCTTTCGTCCTGCAAATACAGTGGCAAGTGAAAAGAAATCGCTTGAGAATATCCTAAGGCGCGAGAAAAGTAAAGACAATTTAGATATGTGTAGCATTTCTCGAAATTACTTCTCATCTGCTTGAATAATCTAAAAATCCAACGCGTTCCAACAAAAACACGTCTTCCATTTACAGAGAATAAGTGTAACAGTTCCGTCGTGTGGAAGAAGTGTTTTTGGTTGATTAATTCTACGTCAGAAGTTTCAACGTTTGTTTGAAGGTGGTTGACAATGCTTCGAGGTGCATTTAATCAGTTTGGACTTCCATTGTCTAATATAACTGGACTTATTCCTCCGAGATCTAACTATTTATAGGTCATTCGAGTGCTTTCACCTATCCCCTCTCTCCGTTTCATCGGTTTCAGCCGAAGCTGACCGTTTGGCGGGAGTTGATCGTGTTCTGCTTGATTAAAGGTTTCTATATGTTGCGTATCTCTACGCTAGCTTGGCTAAATGCGTTGTTGGACAACATATATGCGGCTTTTTTGAATTTTCTCGTAAACCAGTGTTCCTCCTTGTGGATGATTTCAGCTCGAGTCCACTTGATGTTATGTTGATGAATCCAAACATGCTCTGCTATTCCTGATTTGCTAGTTTCTCTTCGCTGTGGGTGTTTCTTGTGCTCGGCAATCCGGTAAATGCAATTCTTGGAATCGCAGTCCGCGTTTGGTGGCCTGGTTTTCGTGAGGCTGCTACGGATAGTGTTCCCAGATCTGAAGCAGGTCCTGATGTTATACTTGGACCCAATCCTTCTTATCCTTTTCGACAATCCTCTGATGTAGGGAAGTACAAGTACTGGTTGTGACGGCTTCTNGCACTTTGTGTAAAAAATTCAATCAAACACTTGAAACGTTGGCAGTGGCATACAGAAATTCTTTGGCATGAAGCGTGTGGCAGTTCGTTCCAAAATTGCTGAACCGTCTCAAGAGTATCATGCCTCAGCCACCGTATTCACCAGATTTGATCCCCCGCGACATTTTCCTGTTCCCAAGATTGAAGAAGCCCATGAAAGGACGGTGTTTTGCGACGATTGAGGAGATAAAATCGGAATCGCAAGGACATACCAAAAAGTGTATATCTGAGGGAGACTACTTTGAAGGGGACAAAATTTTGATAGTTTTTAATAAAAATAAAAATTCACCTTATTTTTTAAACAGACCTCGCCTTCTGCAAAAAAGTTAATGTTCGAAATCAATTAATTAAGTAATTTTCTAAAAAAAATCCAACACAGAGATTTTCTTTAGGAAATTCTAAGTAACATATGTATATAATCACTCAGAGCAAGAATAGTGTCAAAAAATTTTCCAAATTGTAGCGAGTTTATGAAATAACAGTTACTGAAAATATACCGACAGGAAGGACTCATGAGTTTATGAAAATGAAGAGCAATTAATCGTTACTGGAATCAGGCGGAAAAAGTTTAGTGGAAAGTGTTAGCAAAACCACACGGAACGAACTACATACTGTGCCTCCTGAGCTTCATCCGTTATTTATTTATGCTCTTATTAAAGACCCTGCTGATCATCATTTCTAGCCAAGTACTACTTATATAGGACCGCTGTTCGTCGTAAGAAGAGGTAAACAGCATCTGCCTAATGATTAAAAAAATTACGGATGTGGAAAAGTATTTTTTTTCATTTCAAAAAATGTAGAGTAAAAAGAAAATCTTGTATGTTCCTCATACTCAGAGATTTTTGTTGTCAAATTTCTCTTCGATTCAAATTCAAAACTGATGAATTTATGAGTTTCAGCAAAGTATCTTTTACAAGAAAAAAAATGTTTACACTTGTAATGCAAGAAATAATTGGGGCATTCATACAAAAAAGCATGATTGTTTTGAAATATGTGAGTATTTATCTCACAAACTGTGTTGCTGAGGAGTGATGAAAGAACTAGAAGTAATAAATGATTCATAAGAGTATAATCATAATGTTTTTGAAATGAAACTGGAATAATTTCAGGAGAGATTAGTTTCTTGGAAAATTTTTTTGCCCTTTTTTGTGTATGAGGTTGGATTTTTCCAAGGGGCTGTGCTAACGAGTAGAGCAAATAAAGGAATAGAAAATTGCGAATCCAGTTCAAATAAGTGAGGAGTAGTGATAGTTTGTCTCGTTGAAAATATCAAAGGTAAAACGAAAAAGAATAATCAAAGATTCTAAATGAGTTTAGTGGTTTAATTGTTTATTCAAATGAAATTTTCAAAACCAAGATATTCCAAACGAATATGTGAATATGGTGATCTTTAGTGGAGAAACTTCATGTGGAACACGTTGAAAACATCTAATACGAGGTCTGATGAAAAAATTTGGCGATTTTCAGCTATCGAAATAAATTGTTCAAAAACTTTGCACTTTGTGTAAAAAATTCAATCGAACACTTGAAACGTTGGCAGTGGCATACAGAAATTCTTTGGCATGAAGCGTGTGGCAGTTCGTTCCAAAATTGCTGAACCGTCTCAAGAGTATCATGCCTCAGCCACCGTATTCACCAGATTTGATCCCCCGCGACATTTTCCTGTTCCCAAGATTGAATGTATCAAGTAATAAAGAGAATATAATGTATGAAATAAAATAATGACAAAAAAAATCTGTTGTATCAGGAGAAAATGTGAGTTGTCGTACATTTTTTAAAACAATGTTTGTGAAGATCACCGTAAGGTGTAGTTTATGAAAAAATACCTCATTCTATATAAAATGCAAATAATTGGAGAAACTCCTTTTTTTAGATTTTGAATACGTGTTTTCGATCTTAGATCTAGCGGCATCAAGATTTTGGTCGAACGGTTAAACTATAAATTATAGTCCGGTCAAATTAGACTGAAAAATAAAAGTGAAGGTACATAAATTTACAACAAGCTGCAAACGCGTGTAATTGTTCAAAACATAGTTTAAAATAAGATTTTGAAATTCCGAATGATTACGATGCCTAGAAAAAAATTTATTCGAGGTCAAAGGTCAAAAATCCCGAAAAAAATTGTTTTTTCGCGATTTTCAGAAAAACGGTGAGTTTCATCATAAAATTACCTCAGATAAAAATTGTATATCATAAATTTGTAAATTTATGTACCTTCACTTTTATTTTTTTGTCTAATTTGACCGGACTATAACTTATAGTTTAACCGTTCGATTCACTTTCTGAATTCAACTGCCCTCTGTGGACGAGAAGCCGACCTTTTATGTCGGTAACGATCGTTCTAGAATTCTATAGTCCTTTCAGTACTCAACTAGAATTGGAGATTGATACAAATAAGCTTCAGTTTGCTGTTTTATAACCTTATTTTCACAAAGAGAACACAATTTCCCTTCATATCGAGTACACTTCATTTTAGATGAAAATTTCTAATGGTCTGTATCCTTTGAATGACCCTGGAACTGTTCTGTTGAGAAATCTTTTCAGAATTTCAATTATGCATTACTATAGAACGTTAACGTGAGTGCTAGGTTTGCGATGATTACAGCGATGAAAGAATCGATGGTGAACCGTTATTCACGATGGTAATTTTACTTCTCTCGTACGTTCTACCAGCAAAACAATTGTGAACTTTTGTGGTATTTTTTTATTATCAAAATCAATGCCAATTTAGAGTTTCAAAATCGATACATGCTACTATCACTTTTTATGAACACTAGAAGTAAATTTTCTGTGAGAGGTCACTAAACTTTACATTATATAATATTTTTGATATGCCGTATTCAGCCCCTGTAACTCTCAAACTTTTTTGCAATGATTTGAAGTGGAACATTCAAAGACCAACCAAAAATTTTAGTCATTTGATCTTCTATAACAGGCCAAAGGCTTTCATAAAAATATACTCCTACATATTAATTTGTTACTCTAACAAACAAAATACTTCATTATATTTCCAGATCTAGATCATTACCACTAATATAATTGAAAAAAACTAAATTTTGAAAGGAAACTAATAACTACCTCACAAATTAAATTAATTACCCTGCAAAAAATTGACATGCTCAAAACATTACTCAAACAATTAATGAAAAATTAATCCTGGGCGGTTATCATCTTATTTCCGTAACTTAGTAACAATAAAAAAACAGATACAGGACTAATTTTGGAATGTGGCTCGAAAATCTAACCGAGTTCTGCGAGAACTAAACGTATCAAAACGATATAGGGAGGTCAGTAGTTCCAAGAGAAATAACGTTCCAGATTCTACTGATAATAGCAGAACGTGGAGGCAGGGGCAGTGGAATACTTGGCCCCAATCTTCTTGACAGTCTTCCAAACATTGTTATTTGCTCCAAGCTAAAAACAATCGTGCAGGCCAGATTTAATTTAATTGTCTACTGTTGCTACAAAAGATAAAATGATAAACTTGAATAAAATGATTTCTACATGTCTACATTAAAGTTGCTTTGTTTATTCAGCGGCACAACTGACCCAAAAATGCGAACATATCAATAATGCAGGTGATATACGGTGCATTTCTTTAATGCCCCCCCTTATATTTTCTGAAGGGGTCAACTCAAAAAAATTTAAATTTGGGATAATGGAATTAATGCATGAATACTTTGTTTTGAAGTGAAATTTACAGATGAAAATTTCAAGATGGCGACTGGGGGCCATCTGGGGAAAAAATTAAATGGAAAGGGGGGTCTTGTGACCCCATTTTGAAGCTCCTGACGAACACTTCACAAACCTTGAATATGAAGTCAATATCTCCACCTATTACAAAATGGCGGAACATTTAATAACTTCCTAAAGTCTATCCAAATCCAAGATAGAGTAAAACAAAACAAAACCGAAGCGCGATGTTCACGTGATCGCCCAGTGTCAGATGGAAAGAACAGCGTTCATTGGTGAATTCGCCTTCTTGGTACGAGTTCGGTACCAGTTGTAAGCTCTATAATATTCTTGATGATCATATAAAATCATCCCCCAATGTTCATATTTGTAAATCAAGGCTAAAAAAGATCCTACTTCGTAAGTGTTATTATTGGTGTCTGATCAAAAGTTCGGCTTCGGTCGAGTTTCGGCAAAAAAACGGGTTTCGGCGGCAAACCTGCCGAAACTACGACCGAAACCGAAACTGCATTCGGGAGTTCCCGCGCTGCGATCGGTCATGTTCGGCTCGTGATATAAGGTAACAACTCAAATGAGTAATTTTACGTTTTATATTTTTGAAAACCCATCAATAATATTCAAAAGAAGGATCTACACCTACTCAAATAAACACTTCACCTATTTTGAGTATTTTTAAGGTGCAGTTAGTATTTTTTTTTAATTAAGGGTTTTTTAAGTTGATTATCAATAAGTAAAAATGACGAAGACTTCATAACGTGATTTAAAGATAAAAAAATAAAAAGTAACTGATTAAAACAACCTNTTCTTTTTTACTTGTTTCAGGGATTTCAAATCATTTTATATAGTAGACAATGGAAGTCCGAACTAGTGAAATTCATCACGAAACATTGTCAATCACCTTCAAACAAACGTTTGGCATTACTGGCATTTGGTCTGAAATGACTTATGTGCATGTGCCATGCCTAGTCTTGCGCAGTACATTTTGGGTACTATTTTCTTGTAAATTTCGGTACTTTTTGCGTTTTGGTACGTTGCGGCAGCACTGGTCTCAGACCCCGCAGCGTCAGGAACCTCTATACCCATCACGCGACTGCGGTAGACTAAGGTGTTGAAGACACCATCCTGGCAAGCCATGATGAACCCCTCAGTTTTCGGCTTCAGCCCACTCGACCTGAGAAAAGCGAACGTCAGGCGCTTTGATAAGCCAAGGTCTCCAATGTTATTGTAGAAGACCCCACGCATTGGCTTATCCTTGTGTCTCCGCAGAAGTAAGGTGATCTCTGCGGCTTTCATCTGAGCTTTTTGCTGAACAGGTTCCAACTCGGTTACAGAGTTGTGGTCACCTCGTTCAGGGTCGAAAACTCTACCGAGTTTATCAGCTGCTTGGGCAGCTACCCCAAAGAGAAATGCTCCAATTCCTGCTCTCTCATAGTCACGGAACATGCAGAGAAGGGGATCCGAACTCCTGACGACTTTACAGGCAGTATCCAGTACCATTCTGTCACGTAGACACTCCAAACTATTACTACTATTATTATTATGTTTTGAAGCAGATAAAATCGCCAATTTTGAAAACCTTGCAGAGAAAGGCAATTGATTGAGCCTGAATTGAATCACATTTTGTAAGAAAAAAAATATATTTTCTGTTACTTATACCAGTGCATAACTAGAGACAATTTTGAGGCTTCCACAACAGAACCATCTCCACTTCACTTTAAATTTAACTTTTGTACTTTCTCACCCTACAGACTAAAACAAAAATAATCTCACTCGGAGGAAAACCGTCTCACAATCTATGTACAAATCTCCCCGTATAATGTTCATATTCTACTATAGTTTCGGTTCGTTGATAATAATAGTAAAAAAAGTAATAAACGCATCGATCTAACCTACCGATCACTATTCTCACTCTGATTCCCAACTTCCGAGGTAAGCGTCTCGTCTAAAGCTGCCATAACCTGCTCTGGATTATCGACAATCCCGCTGTCTTCGGCGAAGGCGTTTTTCACGGATTTCTCCCCCCGATTTTTGGCCCCTTCGACGGTTTCAGGTGCGGAGGTAGTGGTGTCCGGTTCGTCCCTTTCCGGAATGATCGGATACGTCCTAGTGGGAGAGGAAGGAATAGACGAGGGACCAGATGCATCTTCTGAAATTTTGGAGACGACAGACTGACTCTGTGTCATGCGAGAAGTTTCAACTTCAGCGGGTTTCGGTTCATAGAGGCTCTGCGACACGTCCTTGGACGACGAGGAGGCAGCAGAGGGTTTGA